GCAGACCCCATGTTCATAGACCTTACCACCGCGCCTTCGCCATCAGCTCCTCCACGGAATCGACCGATGTTGTCGACTATGCAGCCAGCCACGCCCATATGCCGCATTTGCATCTCAACACGAGACGTCTTATTGTTCTCAGCACCATACGTATACCTAACACTACGCATGTCCAACACTACCAGGGTCGCATATTACAATGTCAGTCCAGCCCTTCGGCAGTAGTCAGCGAATTGATAGTGCTCATGCAACCATGACGCCTCAAGGCACAGCCCTTCAATGCCGTTCCGTGAACAGAACTCAGCTGCTGCCAAGGGATCCCTCTGCCATAATAGGAACAATACGACCAAGTGAATGACACCCATAGTACATTGCGGAGGTCCGTGAAATCGACCTCGGTGTTATCATGAACATCCTCATACCCGAACCACGTATTGAGAATGATAGGAAACCGTGCTTGCTTCTGTCGTAGTGCGAGACACATCTCGGGATCAAATGAGGAGAACATATACCTAAGCGAAACATGCCCAAGTCCTTCACACACTGTCACACTACCTCCGAGTCGCAGGACAACCATAGTCGTATATATAACGCAGGATGACGTCAGCAACAGTACCGCGGTCGTGGCACGACCGTGATGGATACTTTCGAATAGCAGCTGCAGTTGGATACCTACAATACAAAAGACAACAGTAGACAAACCCACCACCACCACGCCGACCTACTATTACTTGATCTCAATCAATGCTCCCAGATCGTCAGGTGTACCCTCTAACACGGCCTTCAGACTCGGCAGTTTCTCCTGCACTGCAGCACTATCTCGAACACCCTCGGCCTCAAGTGGCGATACTTCCGATTCAACACGACCTCTAGAGGGGAATGTTGCCGCTAGGTCATGGAGGCTGCGCACCTGAGGAAGATCAAAAGCAGTACTGTTATAGCAAACACCAGTGTTGGGAGATGTGGACATGGTCAACTGCACGAGTTGGTGACAATATGAAAATTTTGAGGGAAGTTTGAGAAATCCCCTTCCGCATACTTCTACCCGAATTCGCACGTAAAACTTCTATAACTAGAAAGAAACTTTTAAGCTCAGCTGTAAAATAAGAACGTATATGTCGCTACTGACAAACACAAAGAGGCTAGGCTCACCCGTTTGCCTGCTTCCAATAGGCCACCCTTTCCAGACGAGGAGGTAGGGGTTGAGGACCCACTGCAAAAGCTGCCGTTGGAGGACCCGCTTCCCCCACCAGAGACGCTCGACTCCACTCGTTCCCGACCCGTGAATATCCTCTCTTGATTGTCCTCATCCAGCGAGCATAGACCCTCCTCGCACAGAGACGTGATAGGTATCTTCTTGCTGCTATTGGAATGATTGATCTCCAAATCATGGAAAATCATGGGGGTCCGATCGGCCGTGAGGAAGACGTCAAATTCGACCTGAAAAAAGGGCGTAACGTTAGTCAATGATAGCAGCATATTCCTACCGCATCAGCACCGTACTTCGCTGCCTGCTTGAACGCCAACAGCGTATTCTCTCTTATCCGCGAGCCCATCTCGTCACTACCAATACCTCGATGACCGATAATGGTCATCTCATGTACGTTCTTCCCTGTGGCGGTGCCTGAGGCATGCTTACTACCATGCAAGGCCAACGGTCCCTCCTATTACGCGCTCGCAGAGTCGATCCCTGCCGAGGTTCGGTACGGGGAGAGAAGGCTGATCTCAACGCTGCTGGTAGCGGCGTCACATTCACAAAACGGAATGTGACGGTACCCACGTTCCGGTACTTGTCGTTGACCAACGAGCGGACCTACAGAGGGAATCGTAAATGGCTACTATCAAAGGATGCAGACAACTCACCGTTAGATTAGAGGCGCAACAAAGCTGAAACTCTTGCAGCTCATCGACGCTTATGACGGTATCTGATACCAAATCCACATCCGAAGTGATGCCTCGAGCAATAGGCCACTGCCGAGTAGAGTTCGATTCAAATTTCGCTGAATGAGTAGTCGATAGGAGAGTTACAAGCAGAGGAGGCTTCTGACGCCTTTTCAGTGTCACCACTCTATGTGTCATTACATCCCACGACTTCTCGAGCGCCTTGGCCGTCAGTCGAAACTGCCTCCAATACAGCACTGTCGTTGAATTGGAAATGCAAAAAGCGATGCTTATCATCGCCGTCTCGCAGCTCGGCGATGGACTCGGCGTGATCCGTATTACGAGAAGTTACACGGAGTGA